CTCTCCCGCCAGCCTCTGGATCACCTCCAGCAGGCAAATTCTTACTCTGTTTGATTCTCTGCCTCCACAAAAGCCAGCACATCTGAGGTTTACTTATCTCACCCTTGCCCGTCTCAGCTCCTAACACGAGACATTCCTGACACGACAGAGTAACTAAGGTTGGAAGGCACCTTTAGAATTTGCTGACTCCCATCCCCTGCTCAGCACAGTGTCAGTCAGAACAGGCTTCTCAGGACCAGGTCCAGCTGGGGGTTGGGTATTTCACAGGATGGAATGTCCCGTCCCCTGAATCCTTCACAGCCACTGTCTGAAAGATCTCTAACTGACACGGAAAAAACCCACACGGAGGTGTTTGCTAGCCAGTAACCAGTGTGGGTGGCCCATGGCCAGCACGGGGACTCAAACCTGGTCTCTGGTTTTACTGACTCAGACAGACATGTCGTCACTGGTGTAGTTTGATGACCTCCATCAAAAGATCCATTTATTTGGCCATTTAATCCCCACCAAACTCCCATAAACTGCTTCTCATTACTCACTTCTAAGTTTTCCACGTTTAGCTTCCTGGTTCCCCTCAGCGCACACAGCGCTGCTGACGCACATCTCGGGTCCGACGGCACTGACGTGGCTCCCACCCTCCCCTCTCAGTACACAGCTTCGCATGCCGCCTGGCAAGTGCTGGCGTGTCAGGACGCTCCAGGGAGCATGCGTGGGAAGCAGCATTAGCTCTCCCCACACTTCCCGAGCCTTACAACCTCTTTGCTGCTCCTACCTTTGACAGAAAATGCAGGTGGGAGCCCTGGACATGCTCTTACCGTAATGCAGGCCTTAGAGACAGCAGTGGTATCCAAAGGTGCCTTTGGAGTGACTGCCTCTCCCTCCTGCTGCCAGCAGGACTTCCATTCTTTGGCAACGGGTGGTGATTTAACCTCTCCCTCCCCCTAACACAGGCATCTACCAGTGTGGTCCTGCTTCCACCCGAGCCATCAAGGAAGGGGATGTGAACCTGGATTATGACAGCTCCTTTGTGTTTGCAGCAGTGAATGCTGACTACGTTACCTGGATTCACTACAGCAACAAAAGAAGAGAAAGGATTTATTCTGATACTAAGAAGATTGGAAAATTCATCAGTACCAAAGCTGTGGGCACCAACTCCCGCGTGGATATCACTGCTAATTACAAGTATCCAGAAGGTAAATTATCCACTACAGCTGTCTTGCCAGTGATGGTCAGAAGTGAAAAGGATTTAGGTCTTTGTGGGATTGAGCATTAACTTAATTTCTTCCCTTCTTCTGGAGCAAAGCAGTTGTGGTTTTCCAAAGCCTCAGGGCTCACTGTCAGCTGATCCAATACAGCCTTGGAGGCCCCTGATGAAGTCCTGGTGCATCTGATACAAAGTCAAAGCTCCCTCCGTAAATCCTTCTGTCCCAGCTGTTGCGACGGGCTGGTGAGCGCGTTTCCGTCAGGACATGCAGCAACAGCCATTCTGCAGAGCTGCTTAGGGAGTGTTTCTGCAAAAGGAGTTTTCCACCCCTCTTCATTTCAGAGGAGACGGCAACCGCCGCAGCTCGTGCAGAGCCAAGCTCTCCCAGGAGTTCCCTTTCTACTGCCCACCGCTTCCGAGAGGAGCCCACGCATGGCCAGCTACAGCCGAAAGGCGGGTTTTGCTCCCAGCCTTTGTGGCCGTGTATGCTCACCTGCTTGACAAAATGTTAAAATTGGCATTTACATTAGACCTCATTTTAGAATGAATCATGAGCATTGCTTGGGTGGGAAGGGACTTTACAGCCCACCCATTGCCACCCCCTGCCACAGGCAGGGACACCTTCCACTAGAGCAGGTCGCTCCAAGCCTCATCCAACCTGGCTGCTGGATGCCAACATTATCTCCTCTTGTGTATCTCGGCTCTCCTCAGCTTTCCCAAACGGTACTGACTGAGCAATTCTGGCTCCACTGCACTATGCCCAGCACAGGAGACCTCTGACCGTGTTCTCTTTCCAACCAGGCTCCTTGAAAGAAAGGAAGGTGTATAAAAAAGCACTGAAGCTGCTCGGTGTGAGAAGCACTGGAAAAAGAACCAAAATTAGAAGGCGTAGAAGACGACCTTCAGCAGCCCGGAGACCAAACGCGATGCCGCCTGCACGACCCAGCATCTCAGGGAAGCTGAGCCTTGACGCACCTCCTGTCATTGGCCAGGATATCTGCCTTTTCCTGGTGCTCAGGAACTTGAACGCAGACTTCAAGACCGTAAAGGTTAAACTGAGGGCTTCAGCTGTCCTCTACACACGAAAACCAAAGGCCGAGATTTTGCAGTTGTCCAGGTCCATTAAACTCGGAGCTGAAGAAGGTAAGTTTATACTTATTACAGCTGAGGACAGGACACAGCCTTGGTCTGCGACCTAATCACACGAAAATAACAAATGGCTCGAAAAGTGCATGACCTGCACACATTGGGGGTTAAGACTATTCAGGGGAAGAGAAACATAGATATTTGCCCTCTCCTAAGCATTTGCTTTTGGGCACTGGCAGCAAGACACTGGGATGGGCGATCGTTTGTCTGACCCAGCACAGACATGAACAGTGTGACATTAAGAACTTTTTGCTGAGAGAGAACCAAGAGACATACACTGGAGACTATGCAGCCCCCAGCTCCCCAGCAGCAACACATAAAGCCAGATTAAAGGGAGAACCGCAAGCCTACGCCTTCCGCAGCAGCAGGAGAGGAAGTGCAGGCCCCAGGAAGAGCAACACTACCCACAGGCTGTGCTCTGCCCTGCTTTCACAGGGACAGTGCTGGGAGGGAGATGTGTAGCACAGGTGAACATAACTACCCCCTCACACTAACACACAGCTCATTACAACTCCTCCTACCAGTCCAGCAGCAGGCGAACGTGTTTTCTCAGAGTTCAGGGATCCATTGCCTTCCTCGCAAGCAGAGGCTGTACAGCTGATCAGGGCACCGAACCCAACCCAGCCCTTCCCCTCTGCCTTCCTTGCTGGGAAGGAGCAGTAGATGCCCAGGTTCAGGCAACTGAAAAAAGCACCAGGAAGGGTTGTCAGGTATACCCATGTTCTGACCTGCCCAGCTCAACTGTACCTCATCGTGTAGTCTGATGCGACTGCAAGCAGAGCACCACCCCGGGGTATCGGCTGTCGCACCCAGACACGGACAGCCCCGGCTGACCGCACCTTGCTCCTTAAAACACAGCTACGCTGCAGACAGCTGGCACTTGGGAAACAGCAGAAGGGGAAATTGTGTTTCTGTTTCCATTCCAGTGAAAGAGATTTCATTCAAGATCTCCCACTGCCAGTACAAAAACTCTCTGCGGGATGACAGGAAGATCCTGGTGACTGCTCTGTGTGAAACCAAGCAGGGAGCCTCGCTTCTCGTGGAGAAGGACGTTGTACTTCAGGATCCTTTTCTCACCATCAAGGTAAAAGCCACTCCCCTTCGTGTCCTTAGAGGCGTGTGGAGAAGTAACTAGAATCCTTACTCCATCCACCCCTCACAGGACGGAGTATGAGAAGTGAAATCATGGCCGAGGGGGATTTGATCTTGTTGCTCCAGTGAGCGGCCAGGCGACACGCGGGAAATGAAACACACTGCGGAAAAGTCAACCCTTCCAAGGCATGGCTGCGCCAGCGTGTCCTGCCCAGCTCCTGCTGCCACGGCACTGATGGAGTTCACAGTGTTACGGGGGCTGCAAGTTAAAATTTTCTCCACAGAGACCGAGAGAAACAGAGACACCAAGAGATCTAGCCCACATCTCGGCCTCCGCGTTTGTAAGGCCTGATCATTCTCTTCCAGTTTATTTAGGAAGCCTGATTTTTACCAAACACCTCTTTGCTGACCGGCTGGTAATGCCAGGGCTGTGAGGCTCGTTAGTATGAATGCTCAAGGAAGTTCTCTCACCCGACCAGGAAAAACGGCACTTCCCACCTTCTGTCACATCTTCCCAAACAAGAATTAGAACTGGAAGGGTTTTTCCCACTCTGGGCTGACTTCTGACAAATGTTGTGCAATGCTGAAACACAACTCTTCATCCGCCTGGAGACGGTCCTGGGGTCACACGAGACATCACATCCATAAAAACATGCTGAACTTGATTTAGAGAGTTCAGCACATTCACACACCATCAGATCCAGTGCTCTCTGCCACCTGGACTGGGAGCACCGTGGAGGGAGGAGGAGAACTGGCAGTCCCGCAGTCTCCAGGCCAGACGAGCCATCCCAAACCACTCTAGCAGGAGCACACAGGAAAGGCAAGGTTACACCCCAGAATAAAAAGGGTGGATTTCTGTAGGCGTGGTGATTTCTGAATACCAAGTTCTAATGAGAGTGAACCAAGCTGCCACGCAAACCCAGACCCAGCTGACACAGGGCAGGCCCCTGAGAGACATTACCCCAGTCCAGTGGCTGAGTTTCAAGAAGTGTTTCTGTTTCTGTTGACTGAAACTTCTGTACAAACATTCAGCCAGTAACAGAGAAATGCAATCTGGTGCTGGACTTCATTATGTTAATTAATAATACGTTATCTACAAAGATAACCAGATACACCAATCCCACTTCATCTCAGTCAAAACACGGTAACTTACACCTTTATGTTTATTTGCTACTTGGTATTCTATGTTTTTCCCCTGAGATACCACAATCCCCATGTCTCACACCTCCAACGATTTATAACCCTAAACCTTTCATTTCGCCTGCCCAACACTAATTTGACTTAAGCTGCCCACAGCAGTTAGCCGGATACGCCAAGCTCCTACTGGCATTCTCACTCCGCCTCACACCAGGACATGTTGTATGTTGTATGTTGTGTTACACGTAATGCCGTCCACTGACCAAGGTAAAACGTCAGGACATCTGCAAGACCCCACAGCAGTTTGTTCTTTCTCAGCCACTCTGGATGGCTGGCTCAAGCCTGAACCCTGATGACCAAAAACACGTACATGTATTAACTCCTGGCTCCTTCCTGTCCAGAAGATCCTGCAGGGAA